GTCGAAAAATCCGCCGATCGAACTTTGGACCCGCGACTCGAACGGAGCGGTCGATCACTACTCCAATTTCATATTCCACGCGTTACCGTACACTCTTCTCGCGTTCGAGTAATCGTCGCGATAGTATCTTTTTTTCTCGAGGAACGCGCGACTCGGCTTCCTAGAAGTCAGCGAACGCAGCGAGTGGGTGGTTGCGCGAGTATCACCAAAGCGTTTCTCTCTCGTTCCGTCCCCGTCTTGTTCTTTTCTTAACAGCCGAGAGATCAACCTAACAGACGTTTCAGTTTGTCTCGGGGAGAGAAAAGGGACTTCTGCCGCTCCCACGGCGAGATTTATTCCGAGTACGCGCTGGGCATCGTCAAAAAGAGAAATGTATATTGATTCATGGAGGCGGGCGTTGTTTTGCCGCGACTATCTGTAACCCTCTCCGACTCCGCGTATTAATCGCCGTATCTTAATCGTGCGTTTCTTCCTTTTTTCTTCTTTTTTCGCCGGAGGTCAGTTACCTCGAATCTCTGCCCCGATTCGAAAGCGGAACCGTTCGATCGTTTTGCTAGAAACGTCCGCGAATCGCATCGAAACGTTTCCGTTAACGAAACGTTATTAGGCGAACAGCCCGTTCGAGAGGTCTCGCGTGCATCGTTGCAACGAGATGCAACGCTGTGCACGGCTACCAGAAATAGTTCATCCACGAAGCAGAGGGAGCTTTGGTGACGGGCGAGAGAGGAAGGAGAAAGAGAGGAACGAGAGAAAATACGAGCGGGAGTAACGAGTTACGACGGAAAACGGTGGATTATGTGTGTTTAACCCCCCCACTTCCGAAAGGCACGGAGTTATGTTTGAGCACGAAAAGTAAACTTCGACTTGGTGGCGACGCGAGGCGCTTTTGTGAGGATTAGGAGGAGGCCGCCACTGGTGAATCGGCTCCTTTGTCCCAACTTCCGTGCGCCGGCCAATCGATTCTTCCCAGTCAGAAACCACCGCCTTAACCTTCTTCCGTGAAACAATACCGAATGCAGAAAAATCGGGACGCGAATAAAAATGTTTGCGCGCTTTATCTCGTTGCGAGATTGCTCAACTTCGAATCGATAGAAAATGACAAAGCTTATCGTTCGGTGATTAAGCAACGAGTCTGACGAGGCTTCGAAAATCGTGCGACGCGTTCGAGATTAGTCAGATTTAAATATATTACTACAGCCCGTTTAACGAGCGCCGTTCAATTATAAATTCATCGAATCGCGATGAAAAATAAAGTTCAGCCCTCTCACGGCGAAAAGCGGAGTACAGCTTCCGAGGAGTTAAACTCGAGGAAAAACTAGCTTGGCGGACGTGCAACAGGTAGGAAAGCGAATGCACAGGGCAGTGCAAGTCCAAGCAGGCCGTCGAATATCGACGAAACGGAGGCCGGTCGAGGTGCGTCTCGAGCCGAAAATATCGACGCGTATCGACCTTCTGCGGCTAAAATCGTCGCTCCGTTTTCTTTTTATTTTTTCCACGGCCGCGAAGAATATTTTGTCATTCTCGTACGAAGCTCCACCCAAAACGTCCACAAGTTTTCCAATCGCGCTAACCTTGGTCCACGCAACTGTACAAACAGAATATCAATGCTCGGTAACGACGCGTCGTTCTTTTAGAAAGAGAACGACGACTCGAAAAACAGAAGATAACAAGGATTAATTGTTTCGTCAAGATATAAATTGGCGATCGAGCGAGTAGCAGATTTCGTGCGAAAAACGATACACCGTGGCGCGGCGCAGCGACGAGAAGGCGAATCGGCATGCGTAATCGAGCAGCCAACGCGCTCCAGAATCGACTCGCGGTTGCTCAACGAAACTAGTACCGTACCACGGGCCGCGAGCTGCCTAATCGTACACCTTCACCTAGATATCCGTCGATGTTTGCGCGACAACGTACCCTTTCGAATCGCGAGAGCGCGATAGTTAGCGAGCTAAGCGCGCTTAACTTTATCATCGAGCCATGGTATCGAGACGTTTCGCGACGCTCAGCATCGTGCCGAGGATTCTTGCGGATCCAAGTCAGCGTTACCCTCCGATCTCGCGAAGAAGTCGATCGGAACGTCGTTTGCGAAACTTAACTTCGAAAGTTTTCAATCGTTCGAAAGGTTCACCGACATTCTCGAGAAAGAAACGATAGGGGAAAAGTGTAAGAAAACGGAAGACGAAGAAGGGCGTGTCGAGTCGATGCTTTCTACCGGTACTGTACCGGTTTTAAAGGACTCTGGAGGAGTATAAGAGAAACGCGAGAGGAACGAGCGACACGGAGCGCGCACACGCGTGCAGCACAGGTACGATTCGCGTATCTGAAAGGTGGGCGACAAGGACAGTAGCCGAGAGAGACGATCGAGCTACGCTACGTTCGGAATAGACGATAGAGAAAGAAGGAAGGAGACAGAGGCGAGAGCTGAACGGATGCGAGGAACACGACCGAACGAGAAGAGAGGTGGACTAGCCACTGAAGAGTAAACTGGCCAGACTGCCTGCCGCCGTCGACAACGTAACACCGTTCTTCAGCCAGAGACAGCACTTGGTAGGGGAACGAGCAATCGGAGAAACAGCCAGCCACTGGATGTAAAATAATATTCGACGAGAAAACGAGAGCGTACCGTTGCGTCTAACGAGTGTTCGACGCTGATCCTGCAACGCAATCCTATTAATTCAATTATGCTCCAAGTTTTGAGAACCTATCGTGCGATCTCGGAGCTTTGCGTGATAGGGTGAGAAACTTTCAAATCATTCTATTAACCCCTTCCCGTGCCATTTATTTATCAGTTGTGTCAGTCAAGACTAACTATTTAGGGCTATAAAACGAACAAAGAAAATGAAAATGATGTGAGTATCTTATATTCAGGGGTCCTTGACAATGCAACTTATAGTTGAACCTAAATTTCAAGTTGAAAAGTATTCAAAATTTGAGCAAGGTTTGTCACATTTGAGCTGTATGTGCGTCTCGAGTGAGACTCGTCAAAGTAACTTGAAAGATGTGATGGGTTTACCATACACATGGAGGTTCTATTTTGTCGATAAATAACGTTGGAAAAGTTTCTCGAAAGAGAAAGAAGATTACTCGTAATTTTGGATCCGAGGAGCTGAATCGATTAACGGGACTCTCCGGTTCGTTCACCGAAAGAATTAATCAGCGAACAGTAAATTGGCCCCAGACTGCCTGTCGCCTTTGGGATCGTGGTACACGTGCCAATAAAACTGGCTAGAGGAACGGGCGCGACTAAAACGATCCTACTGACGTGGACACTTTCCTGACCTTAATCGACAAAATTAGAGATCTATCGGTATCGAAGGCGCCACTGAAAAGTCTGTACGTCCAAACGAATTGTAAATTATCAACGCGAAGATGCGATTTTTGGATCGGACTACTCTAACGGCCCTGAATTCGCCAATCTCGCGTGACACTCGGAATGAAGAGATTTCGGTGGTAGATAGAAGGTTCGTTCAATTAGAAGTTCGGTTGCGCGATCTCCACCGGTGTACCGTTAACTCGTTCGCCGTGATTCGACTATCGGTAGCTCCTTGAATTCTAAGCGATCGAAAAGAATGTCGTGGCTTAGAAAATCAAAGAACCCCGTAAATGGTTTCGCGATCAAAGAGAATTCGGTTGAATGTTTCTGACCTATCGACAAGTACGAATATCACACCGAGTCGTAAGATATAAAAGTTGGATTTACGACTCGTCCGATTACCGCGCAAGATTTATAGGTCGTCCCATGAGGCGCGGTCAAAGATTAATGATCGTACTAGGTAAACGCATAAAATGATTGCATATTACACGGCAGCTGAATAAAGAAACTGCATAAGCTCGAATGACAAACATTTCCGCGGGGAAGGTGGAAAATATCACGGCATAACGAGCTAGGTAGGCGCGGTGCTAGAAAGTTGAATGAATTAAGCACGCCTGTTTATGATTGTTAGCAACTACCCACGTGCTTCCCTCGCTTACTTCGATTCTACGCAAGCTTCTTCTTTGGCCCTCGTTACCTTCTCGACCTTTCTTTTTCCCGATGCAATCTTCTCTTTGTTCGACCCTCGACCGATACGACTCTCGAACGCGCGAACACTCTGTATCGATTCGGTCGTGCAACGAACATAACGCGGATCACCTCGTCACCGAAGGGTGGATCCCGTGTATCGATTCGCTGAAGGGTCGAACAAAGGAACGGAAGAAACTTAACGAGTGAAACGATTCTGCGAAATCCGTGGACCCAGAGAAACCGCTCGATCACTTACCTGAAACAAAAGCAACAAATTTTCATTAGCTACAACTCGATGACAAGATCGAGGGGACGTAGGACAAGCTAATTACTCGCGACGCTCAAGGTAACCGGAAGTAACGGGCGAGCGATTTTTATGGAGAGTCCTCGAGCATCGTTTATCGCTCTTCTCTAGGAAGGAGACTCGAGAGGCGAAAGAACGAAGGACGAGTTCCCGAACAAATAGCGCGAGTCATTTACTCTCGGACGGTCACTTTTTCCTAAACGAGTACTCGAGGTTACTAATCGCGATAGAATTATAGTTTTCTTATGGAGTACGTTTCCATTCGGAAGTCTTGAGAATTCTACCTCCTCGATAAAATAATGAAAGAGGGTGTGCGAGTGTTGAGAGCGATGTATTGAGCAATTACCGAAGCTGTCCCATTTCGTTGGGAAACAGAGAGAA